GAACAGGCAAAGAAACAAAATTAAGTCATCAAAATAAAAACTCAAAACAAATCAAAACATTGTTACCATGAGAGTAGAAGTGGTTGAGTAATCTTCTTTTGTATGCACAGCTCCGGTTTTTCCATGTGAATGGCCAGAGCTTCAGCGATGCAAAGGAGACGAAACCGTATTGCCTTTGATATGTTATTCTTGACTCTGTAGATTACTTTGAAGGAGGCGTTCGTTGAAATGCAATGATCAGTGTTGACCAGGTGTTCAATTATCGCACTCCTTATTGCACCAGTATTGCCTTTTCGCAACCATGCTGGATAATGTTCTTGAATTCTCTTGGACAGGATGCGCGTCGAACGACCGATGTACCTGGCTCCACAGCAGCAGGTGAACTGGTATATGCACATAGAAGTGGCCAGATGCGGGATCTTGTCCTTGAGGCTTCTGCAGATCAGTGGGCGACTGGAGAACACTATTCGTAGCGTTGCTGCAAAGAACGTTCTTCTCAGAGATGATGTGATCCTTCTCTTGAGAATATCGCTTGCTAAATCTCCCTTGAAATCCAAATTCATGTAGATTTTCTTTTTAGGCACAGTTAAAGTTTCGTTTTTCCGAATTATTGGTTTCATATTTTTGTCGATAAATCTTATTGGGTATCCATTTTGGATGAATATTTCTCTCAGAATATCTAATTCTGTTTCCAGAACGTCGGGACTACAGATGCGTCGGATGCGGGTAGCAAGTGATTTAATTAAGTTTCGCTTTTGTTGAATGGGCACCCAGCTATAGAAGCTTGTTAGTTGACCATTCCACGTAGGTTTTCTATGGATTGATCTTCTTAGGCTCCCATCAGCTCTTCTTGTCAGTTCCACATCAAGAAACGGAATTTTTGACTCGTTTTCCATTTCAAGAGTGAATTTTATTGCTGGATGGCAATTGTTAAATGTCTTCAGCAGCAGATTGGGGTCGTTGTTGTTGTCACAAATAATGAAAATGTCATCCACGTATCTTTTATACAGTCGCAAATTGTCGATGCTTGGCTTTAGTGAACCTCTCTCGAGGCTTGCCACGAAGCAATCTGATAGTAGTGGACCCAACGGAGATCCCATTGCAATACCATCCTTTTGTCTGTAGATGGTGTCGTTGAATGTGAACTGGACGTTCAGAGTGCATCTCAATAATAGTTCTTTCAAGTATGTTGTCGGTATTCCAATATCGAGGTGGTTGTCATCTATATATCTGCATATGAAGCAGACCGTTTCTGTGAGTGGGACATTGGTGAAAAGTGACTCGATGTCGAAGGACAGCATAATTTTGTTAGATACATTCGTGTCTTGTATGCACTCGATGAACTGGAAGGTGTCACGGAGCGAGTACGTACATAATTGCTTCCTTACAGGTTCCAGAATATCTGCTAGCCATTGTGCAATAGAGTGGTAAGGGGAACCTGACATATCCAGAATTGGACGAAGTGGGAGACCAACCTTGTGTACCTTTGGTAGACCATAAAGTCTTGGTATTATTGAACCTGTTGGCCGGATCTGATCGTAGATATCCCCACTGATTAGTTGACTGCCTTCATTCTCTTCAAGACATCTGTGAGCTGCTTCTCAATCTGTTCCGTCTTGTTTCTTTCATTGGAAGGTTGGGAAAATTTGTCTTCATTCGACAGTATATCGTTCATTTTCTCGATGTAGTCTCTTCGATTCAGAAGCACTACACCCGCACCCTTGTCGGGTCGAGTTATAAGTAGATCTTTGTTATCTCTCAACTGTTTTAATTCCTCTCGGTGCCGCTTCGTTAGGTGGTTGCGGACTTTTGATTTTGAATTCAAGTATTGGTGGCAGCAGTCCATGATTGTTGACTTGAATCTCTGTAATTCGTCTTCAGAAGTTGGGCTGAGATCGTGCGTTTGGCTGATTAGATTTTCAAACTGGACCTGAGTATGGAGTTTGTCGGAGTTGAAATTTATATAGCAGAATTTAGGGCCCAGAGATAAATATATGTAATAAGGTCATAATTACTGAGAAACTTGACTTTTTCTGCGCAATTAAGGAATAAAAACGTAGTAATAATGAAATAGGCAGGAAGTCTGAATAAAAAAACATAGTAGTGCAAATAGGGAGTGAAAGAAATGTAAAAGTAAAAGACAAATTCGGCGAAGAGCATTTTCTTTATCGACGAAATCAACTCCACAGGCTGTACAGTTGTGTGTTTATATTTGCCAAAATTGTATAGTAGTTCATTAAAGAGGTTGAAGGGCTTTAGAAGTGAAACAAAATAAAAGTTGTAAATTACGTAGTACTCAACGACAAAAAAGAAGAAGGGGTTATAAATTTGATTAGGTTAAAATTGTTATTGAGTAGTGAGAATAAAGGTAGTTGAGTGTCCATTTAACAAATGTGAATAGGATGAGAAAATGTACAAAAGGAACATATAATTTCATACATTTATTCCCCTTAATGAATTTGAACAAAGCAAGAACTACAGTTTTAGCAGAATAATGTGGTACCATCATTTATTTCGTTGGCTTCTCATCATCTGCTTACAGCCTGAATAAATTATGAGGTTAAAGTACAGACCTGTTTTAACATACTTGCAAATTTTACATGTCAGTTGACAGGAACATATAAGATAGATAATAGTGAATTAATTAATAAAGTGAAAGTAAAATAGGAAATTAAAAAATTAAAAGTTTTCTTACAAGGAAGGGGTTAGGACCAAGGTAGATTAAGAGACTGGACAAGCGTTTCTCTATACATAGTTTGGGGTGTTATTGATGAACTGCCAGTGCCTCCGCCATACACAAATGTCGAAACCTGACACCTTTTTGTACCACTTGTCCTCACCCTGTAGATGATCTTGAAAGACGACTCTGATGGAGCTGCGTCGCCTAAGTTCACCAAGTGGTCGACAATTGAGCTGGTAAATTTCTTGCATTATCCTTTCGCTAACCATGCCGGATAATGTTCAGAGATGCGTTTGGGAAGTGTGGGCTTTGTGCGGGCGGCCAATATAACTAGCACCACGAGAGCAGGGGACTTGATAAACACACATTTTGCTGTTCCAAAGCGGCACTTTATCTTTCGCACATCCACTGATCATATGTCAGTTATAAAAACTGATCTGCGGCTCAGCCGCAAAGAAGGCTTTTCTCAATGATCTGGATCAGCGGTTCTTCAGAATCACAGATAAGGTATCACCTTTAAATTCAACGTACATAAATAGCAGTTTCTTCGTCACCGTCTGCGTTCTTTCGGGCTTTTCCATTACTCTCATATTCTTCTAGATCAATCTTGAAGGATATTCCATTTTCCATTAGGGCTTGTCTTAGTCTCTCCAGTTCACTATTGCTTGTATCACTGGTACGTATTCTTCTTGTTCTTGAGTTTAAAGAGTGGATCAGATTTCTCGTTGTTCTCGAAGGGACCCATTTCATGTTGGTTTCCTGTAAACTGATCTTCGAAGAGAACTGCCAGATTTCCATTTCAGCAAGACATCCAAAATAAAGCGAAATTCCGCATTCATTTTGGGCTCATACGTGAACTAGATTGCATGATGGCATTTGTCGAACTCCCTAGTTATCGTTTCGATGTTGAGATTCTCTTCACATATGATGAAAGTATCATTCATGTAACTTTTGGTACACGGTACATGGTAACATACTATTTTTCACTGAATTGTCTTTTATTTTCTTCATGACTTAATAGGTATTTTCGGTGAAACGGAAAAATAACAGAAATAAACAGAAAGATTGGATAAGTATAGTATAGTAGCTGTTGGGAGATTCGACTTTTCATAATGGCTATGGTGTGGATAACAGTTGGACGTATTTCTTTTGATTATATTGTGTAAGCGTAGACTTTTTGATCGCTAGTGCTTCAGCTCTTCCCCCAAGATACCTTGATTTCACTTCCTTTGAAAAGTTCGATCGGATCTTGTATATGACTTTGAAGGACATATCTTCAAACGCGCATCTGAATGTCCCGCATTCACTAGACGTTGTGTTACTGTTTTGTCCTTGCTAACCACATTGGCTAGTGTTCACGAGCGTGTTTTATAACTGGGCGCATTAGTTTTTGAATCAAATACCTCTTTATTTATTATTGATTAAAAAGTATCCTATGTGAACTTTTGAGTTACGAATCAGTTTATTTGAGATGCATCATCGTGTTAGAACTATTTCTGCCTATACAATGTTGATTGAAAGAATGAAACACTTCCAATTTTCCGAACATGTACTGAAAAGCCCACACCACAGGGGAACAAACGCTTACCATAATGTTATTACTGGAAATCTTCTTGATACGTGTCATGACGTGAAAATCGCAAATCCATTTAAAATTATCAATGGACAAGTAAGGCCCAGTTCTCCTCAAGTTTGCCGATACAATCTCTATCAAACGCCTGAAGCCTAATTTATGTATTCAGAAAGAAGCAGTTATCAATCAGTCTTTCCTTGCCCGCCTGGTAACTGGATACCGTTATTCTCCCCCTTTTCATTTGCTTGCGTAAACATCTTTTGCTCGTCTCTTGTTTCTATGATTTGAATTGAACTCAGTACATTGTTACCTAATTTATTAGTTACTCAACCATCATCTTACGCATCTCTCATCTTTATTACATAACTCCTTAACCATTATATGCATACACTTACCTTGTTTAAACTTGAACTGCCTATGTAAAAACTGTATGAGCGTGATTTTCTGAACACTGTTCACTAAGTCCAGAACCTCCTGTCAACTGACATCATGTACAAAATTTGCAAGTATGTTGGCAGTACTGTTTCTGTACATAGACCTAATAATAATAATAATGATTTATTTAGGCTGTAAGCAGCAGCTGATGAGAAGCCAACGAAATAAACAATGATGGTACCCCATATTATGCTGCATAAACCACTATTGTTCTTGCTTTATTCAGATTAATATTATTTTCTTTAGTTTTTTTTTACTTTACCCATTATCTATCATGTTTGTTTGTTTGTTTGTTTACTTTTCCTTTTGAAGTACAAACACTTAGGAAATGATGAAATTATGATTATATGGAATGAGAATTCACGTGCCTTTAGACGTAGTGTACTACGTACTCAATTTGGTGATGTATTAATCATTATATCCCCTTTGCTTAATGGACTTTATAAAGTTGAAGTACGACGTGAAGCTCAGGTTGGTTTTCTATCAGTGTTTTTTTCTTTAAAATTTGCTTTACCCTTTTGTTACATTTGTTGCATTCCGATTCGTCTCCCTCTTGAAATGCCGTCATGTGGCGACGTGTTCATAGCCTCTGCTCAATTGAGTCTTATTCACTTTGTTCATGCGGTCGTTGGGGTGGGTGTTCCTCAGCAATGTTAAAGAGCGATTTTGAACGTCTCGCTCTTACAATCGGACTGCTGAATATGCAGGCTTTACCTACCTAGGGGAACTGGTAGTGGTGTACATGGGCTCTAGAATCCGAAAGCCTCGAGCAGTGGTTGAACCTGTTTTGGTTACCAGAAGCTATAGGGACACAGCTTCTTAGGCTGATGCACCGCCTTGTAGATCAGACCTCAGGTCAAAAGGTCAGAGAGGGGACTGCCCATCAAGACAAGACAACCACCTCCATCTATCTGTGAGTCCGGACATTGTTCCAGGTCTAACACAAACTTGGGCAACAATTTTATTTGTGCTGCCACATCTCTTAATGTGCATAATGTACCAACTTTGTGTTTTAAATAAGTAATTCGTGTGATGGTGAGGTTGCAAGCCTCGAACCCGCAATCTTTCACTTTTTTTCACGGGTATACCATCGAATAGTCAACTAGGCGAGGTTTTATCATTCTACACTTTCTATTCTCTTTTCCACTTATTTTATCATTGAATGTCTGTCTATCATTTTTCGACATAGAACTTTTCACCGATGTGCACCAGTTCAAGTCACCACACTCCCTCCATGTAGCACACAAAGCACGAGAAGAAAGTAGAAGAAATGCAAAGTAGAGACTGTAAACAGAGGTGTGAGACAAAGGAATAGTAATAACGAAGAACAATATAGTTTCATTTGAAATCATAATTCACAAAGAGTGGATGCATCTAACGGCGCCAGCCATTGAGAACGATCACTTTGAGCCATATCACCAATTGTTTCCAGCCGTCATTGGTTTTTACCATCCCGAGGACCCCAACCAGTCAGTAAGTCTACACCTCCCTACTTGGCTGGCTGGCTGGCTTAAACTAACTGTTGTGGATTTCATTGACTGGTGTAGCCATGGTTTGGTTTGACCGCCGCTAGCTCTTTGCCAGCCTGACCCTATATCAGCTAACATTGCCCGTCGGTCGAGGAAGGCGATGACTAGGCATACGTAACACATGTCCTAATCATCTCAGTCTTTGTAACTTCACAACCTCGTCGATTGATTTGCCCTCCTTACCTAGAACTCGATGTCTAACCTCAATATTGCTCGCCTTATTATACCACTTAACACGGGAGATGGAACGCAGACACCTATGTTCAAAGACAGCTAATATTTATAACTGTCCCGTGATTCTCTCTACCACATTTCCTACCTTTATTTCAAATATAATTCTTAAATACTAATACGAAATACTTATTTCTTTTTATCTAAATACTCTAGGTTGGTTTATTTGGTCCAATCGTTGAAAGTGCTGTTTTAAGTTCAAATGTTTTACCCGGCCTGGTCCGTGCAACAGCTATCAACGCTAGTCGTGCTGTTCGAGCCATGAAACCTGGATATCATCATCCGTATCCTTTATTTGCGTTTCAATATTTTTTTGAATATATCTTACTGTTGCTCAACAAAGATTTATATATATTCATTTGTGTAGAGTTATATGTCACTAATCTAAACAGTTGTGCGTCGGTGGCATAGCGGTTAGGATGCTCGCCAACCATGCACATGGTCCGGAGTTCGATCCCCGGCCACCGATACACTCCTTTACCTCGCTAAGCCAGTACTAAAGCTGGTAAAGAGGAAAGGTTGGGCCTGAGGCTAGCAATTCAAATTTATTAAAGGGATTAATTATTTTAAATTATTACTGTTATTATTATTAGTAGTAGTATTAGTATTGCTTTAATCTTAACTCTACACCAAACTTAAAATCGTGAATTGACGAAAATCAAGATATGAAGGTCGAGCAGCCAGTCTACAACAAATCGTATCCAAGTACACACTACCAACTTCATTTGAAGAATATGCTGAATCTATCCTTCTGCCAAATACAAAACCTGGTAAATAAATAATCTTTCTTCTTGTATAATAAATAATATGATGATTTGTTTATGTATATATTTTGTTTTTGTAAATAATTGTTGTTGCCAATAGCAACATACATTGATGTGATGAATTACATTGTTCCTATTGTGTTGTATACACAATTAGTAGCATTGTTAACTTTCTACTGTTGTCCATGTATCTCTACATAGTATTTTAGTACATTCATTCAGCATTGTAGTTAATAATAATAATATGATTGGTAGATGGTGACTTGCAGTGAAATCTAGGATAACACATATTTCGTCCTACTTGAAACTCGTCATCTGGACGTGCCTGCATTCCACAGTGAGTGATGATGTTCCCCCGGGGCTCGAACCCAGTGGCCATAGTTTCAAACGCCAGAGCGTTATCCACTAGACCACTTGGGCAACGAGAGCCACCTCTTGTGCAACAGGTCTTATTAATTAATAAATTCAATTTTAGATTTTCCCGTTGGTTGTTTGGACCGAAGTGCTTGTCTCAGGTTGACATGTCTGTTGGCTTCTTGTGCAGATGCTTCGATTAACATGACCCATTGCACAAGAGGTGGCTCTCGTGGCCCAAGTGGTCTAGTGGGCTCTGGCGTTTGAAACTATGGGCACTGGGTTCGAGCCTCCATGGGAACATCATCACTCACTGGGAAATGCAGGTACATTCAGATGACGAGTCTCAAGTAGGACGAAATGTGCGTTATCCTGGATTTCACTGCTAGTCACAATCCACCAATTAAATTCTAACTAAATGCTCAGACATCATCGAGGCATCTGCACAGGAAGCCGACATGCCAACCTGAGATCGAGCACTTCGGTCCAACCAACCGACGGGAAAATTTAAAACTCAATAATAATAATAATATCTAGTATTAAGGATTTCGATTTGAACTTTAAAATTTTTAACTTCTTATACCATTTATGCAGTTGTCACAATGGCAATTAACCAGTCAGTTTCTCATAAAGATATACATTCCTACTCTCAACGCATAATTCATGCAAATTATATTACAATGCGTACCGTCAATTCTAATGGAAATATGAATAATTCACCCCCATAACATAACACCTACCTATTTGACTAGAGGTACGTAAACTGTAGCGTTAGTGTGTGTGTGTGTGTGTTGTGATTTGTTACTAATGTAGTGTAGTTCACTGTAGAGTAGTTTAGTCTGTTATTATTATGATATCATAACTCTCTCTCTCTCTCTCCCTCTCTGTGTAAGCCAACGAGGCGTGTGCATAGAACGTCCCCTTTCTTCAATATCTGAAAGGCTGCTGCTGCCTACTATCATTGATAATATTCCTAATTGTGGTAGACTGGGATTATGCGAGACACATCATTCTTTGGAAAGCGAGAAGACTGTAAAAGATCTGGACTTCGTAGACGATTGCATATATCTTATGTGCGCCCCACACATGAAATCGAACATCTACAGGCGTATATCAACAAGTTGACAGGACTTCAAGTGAACAACATAGAAGAGAAAACAGGGTGATGAAGATAACGGGAGAAATTTGAAGCTAGTCACTTCTCCTTCACTTATCTGGGCAGCATCGTATCAACTAAAGGCAGTAGGCACTGTTGAGGATGTCAAAACCAGGATTGGAATAGCTGAATATAATTTTTATTAATCTAAGGTTAGTCTGAAGATCTTCTGTATTCAGAATAACACAACAGAATTTGCATTTTCAACACCAATGCTACGTTAGTTCTTCTACATGACAAGCGCATCACCAAGAGCCTTCCCAATAGGCTTCATACTTTTATCAACAGCTGTCCTCGCTCCATACTGAAGATCAAATGGCCAGAAAAGATAAACAACAAGACACTCTGGGAACAAAGCATCTAGAATCTATTCTCCAACAAATATTCTGAAGGAAATGAAGATGGATCAGATACATTGGCGAGGTCGTTGGGTGATATCACGCGCCAGGCTATCGCTCTAATGGAATCTGAATAGAAAATGAAATATCGAGCTTAAGTCTGAGGATGACGTGTTGGAGATCGTGTGACGATAATAGGAAAAACCTCATAGGCACCACTGCAGAAAAAAGGATAAAATGGGTATGTTCTGTTGAAAGACTCATATTCCACACGCAACCCAAGGGAACAAGATCATATACAGACGTTTTTTCTCTTTTCAGTTCTTGTGAAAGCAGATCCTGATCACTTTAAAACCATACTATGGTCTAAACACTCAGAGACAATAAACCATTCATTTTTCATGGAGATATACGTTGTTACTCTCAACGCATAATTCATCATGAAATGACGTCAGTTAGGGAACCATTGGAGAACCTGGGAGTACTGGATAGTTATTTCTTCAGCCACTGAGGTTCGAAACCGGGGGCTTCTAGTTACAAGGCTAGCGAGCTCGTAGACCACTAGGCCACTGGGACCCGATCCACTGGCTTGCCTGTGAATCCCAACTTCTTCCACCAGCGAATGTCATCACTGTCGAGGTTTTATCTTCACACCCTGTCTGCTATACCCCACTGGTCACGACTTGTCACTAGAACCCAGGTAACTTCCTACCCAGGTTATCCAATGGTCCTCTAACCAACGTCAGTTCATGATGAAATCCTGAAACTAGTCAGATCCCTACAAACCAGCACTTGAATATCATGTGAATTCTGCTTCAATGTGTACAACCAATTTCAGTGGAAATATATACAATTTAGTCCCATAACATAACACTTACCCGTATGACTAAAAGTATGTAAACTGTAGCGTTAGTGTGTGTTGGTATCGTAAATCTGTAATCTAACCACTCGTATTACTAACTTGTGAACCTAATGTATTCATGCAGTGTTCCTTCATTGTTCTAGTTAGAGTTATCTCCTTCATTATTCGAACTAGATTGATTGTTTTCATAAGGTAAATGTGTACTATGATTTATCAAATTTTCTCTAAAATGCATTCATCAAACGAAAATGATTATAGCTGTTAATCATACAAATAAATATAGACTGAGATCATAGGATTTGTAGGGATATCGGGTCCATTTCACCTCTAAGATTTTCATGATGAACCAACAGCATTTGAAGAGATCATTGAAAACCACCCCGAGCGGGGGCACTGGACAGCTGTTTCGTCGTCCTTTTTAGCACTCTTCAGTAATGTACACCCATGAATCCTCCAGAAATCGGACCTGGGAACTTCCCTTTGACCATTCACAGCCCTTTTAGGCTGAATTTCGATTACCTGTCAACGATTTCGAACCATGCCATCACCAGTTGTGTCTAACCATTGATTCTTAGAATCTTGACGGCCCTAACCAAACAGTGTGCACCTCTCTCCCTAAGTGGCTGGTTCAAACTGATAGTTAAGGGTTTCATGGATAGATTTCATGTTTCGGTTTGGCCACCACTCGCAGCGCTTTTCTAACCTGATGATCATATGCCAGTTAAAACCTGTCCCGTCAAGAAAGTCGACGGCTAGGCATGCATCCATGCATGCGTAACACACGTCCTACCCCCCACCTCAATCGATCCACCTTCACAGCTTCATCAATTGACTAACTCTCCTTACCTAACACTCGACTTTTAACAACACGTAACACGGTCACAGATAGCTATTTATTTATAAATAGCTAGCCTCTTCATATTTTTTTTCAACTTTCAATGCTCATATCTCACAGTATAGTTTATCGTCTCATCACTAATATGTCGCAATTATTTTCCGTCTTTCCTATTCTACTGGTTTGTTGTTGAATAACTTTATTTTTTGTTGGCAAAAATCTATTTCCTATTTATGAATGAATTTAAAACCAATAACATTGTAGTGTTGTTGATCTTTTCATTTATTTATTTACCTGAACAGTTGAAAATATCACTACCTCACCACAACCACCTGTGTAAGATCATGATGGCAATGAATTATCCTGGCTTTGTATGCATACATACACACACACATGTACACACAACTAGTTTTGTTCTCCCCTTGGTTGGTTGGTTGTTTGCTTGCTACATGATGCACCTCATTTCTTTTTTTTTATCAATCAGTTGGTTGTTTTTCTGTTTGTTTGATTGTCAGTGAATTTTATCGAATAGTATACAACATTAGCATATCTAATTTCACAAACACACACACACACACTCGCATACACCATACTCAGAAGTAGTATGTATATTTACTAAACATGCATTATTTATTTTCATTGATCTATGCTATATGTGACTTGCGATAATAATAATAATAATAACAACTATATACATTTGCATGCATTAATTGTCTATTTTGTTGCAAACCTCATTCTTATGCATCAGTATATGAGAGGTAATATAATTTGTATGGAATTACTTATGCGCATGTGTTGTGTGTTTACCCCCAAGAGTACTACTATTTATCGATCAACTTCTAAATCATTTCTTGTATATATGTATTATTGCTACTTTAGGCACTACCGTCGTATCAGTGGAACAGGCATCTGTCCGTCAGCCTACTGAATTAAAACGTTAAAGTGTCTATTTATCTATCCATCCGTTCGTCTTATTCTTCTTTTCCGTCTTCTGCTTTATCCTTAAAATACCTTTAAGGTAATGTGTGTTGCGTATTAATTGTTGTTGTCGTTATTGTTATTATCATTGTCACACAATGTAGAGTGTAGTATGCATTAGCGTTTCTGTTAGCTTTCCGGTGTTTCTGTTGGTCAGCGTTGTTTTATCCATTACTGTTGTTGTTGTTGTCGTCGTCGTCGTTGCTGTTCTTATAGCTGTTCTCTTTTTTGTCTTGTTTATTTATTTATTTATTCCTCTGATGTTTGTATGTGTGTGTGTGTGTGTATTTGAGCTAAGAATATTATTTTCGATAAACTTCCTAGTCCGACTTCACAGTTATACCGTAAAATTCTAGAATAATCGTCACTAGGTAGGTAGTAACTAGCCTCATGCGTCCAGTCCACACCATGCTACTAGTTGACTTCCTAACACACACAGTGAACTTTGAATTATTTATTTATTTGTTTATTTATTTAGTTTATTTTTGATTACAGCTTGATTCCACACCGTATTTTTGGTACAAGTATGCAATTTTCAGCATGGATATATCCGTAGGCCAAATTTTGCATGCCAACCATTGATATCAGGTGTACGTCGGCAGGGGATCGAACCCCAGACCATGTGTATGGTTGGCAAGAGTTCTAACCAATGTGCCCACCGATGCACTGAATTGTTGTTATTAAGATGGTTGGAGGCAATCGACGACAAGATTTTACATTTCATACTTGTTGGCATTCACCAGTCATCGGCGAGGCGTATCTGCAACCTTGAAGCAACTTATGTCCCCGGGTCACTCAGTGCTACAGTCCGAGACGTTACCACTGACCTGTTTAGATTCGAGATGGACCTCCTGTAGGACTGACTGGATACTAGGTATGCATTTATTCCTTTGTTTGGTGCAAACTGAATTGTATGAACAAAGTATAATGATCCATGAAATTACAGTTCAAAAACGATGCGTAAATTCTAATAAGCATTAAAAAATATAATACTGAATAATAGAATATCAAATAAAATCAACAAGAAAATTTATGCAACAGTTAGAAATTGTTAAAACAATGACGGTCAGGGTAAGTTGAGCAGGTAAGCGTCTGAACCACCAAATTGTTTTGGGATGCATAAGTTAGCCTTCCTAAGGTGGATTTTGACAGCTTCAGGTAAAATGACGACTAGTTACAATATGATAGGATAACTTCAAAAACTTTGAGATGAGATTGAATAGAGTTAAGAAGAGACATTATTTGTTCCTTGCTGCTTAACGGCATACGGTGGTGTTCTGCAATCCAATAATAAACATGCTTAATAATATACACTCTCTGTAAAATTGGCTCCACAAGAGTAGAAAAGGAGCAAAACTCGGTTGTTTATGTTTAACTGCCAAAGTGACGATGTACTTTTCCTGAGACATTGAATACTCTTTTTGCTACAACTGCATTACGTAAGGGTTTGTGTGTTGTTTTATTTCACTGATGTGTCATCTATCTATCTGTCACCGACGAACTGAAGTGTTAAGTATATCGTCTGTTTCAGAAATGTTAGGGTATTTTTGGTCTCACTTGGCTTTAGATTCTGTTTCTCTAGGTGTAACCATTTCCACTTAGTAACTATTGAACTCTTCAATTGAGACATTCACCAAAGAGAATTGCCCTTGCGCGCTGTGGAGCAAACACTTGATTACAGTGTTTAAGAGTTAGTGTGTAGCGATCTGACTTGTTTCAAGTTTGATGTCGGATTGATGGTGATTGTAAACTATAGCGGCCCAAAACGAAACCTACTTCTAGCGACCAGTCAGATGCGTCAGAAGTAGAAGTGCGTAATTTGAAATAAATGTACCCCAAGTATTCATCAACCTTATTCAACAGCTGTACGACAACGGCACCTGCCAAGTGATCCACAACGGAAGACTCAGCGAGGCGTTTGGAGTAAACACAGGAGTCAGACAAGGGTGCTTACTATCACCAATGATATTCCTAATTGTGCTGGACTGGATTATGCGTCAGACTGTGGGAAACGAGAAGACAGGAATATCCTGGACCGACGTGAAGAACCTAGAAGACCTGGATTTCGCGCGTGGATGATTTATGTTTGATGTCACACACAATCGAAGACTTACAAGCGGAAGCCGACCGACAAACTGGTCGAAGAAGCAGCTGGCGAAGACAGGACTCCAAGTGAACATACACAAGACGGAGGTTATGAAAATAACCAACAACAACAGCAACATCCAACGTCAATCACCATCAACGGGAGGGATTTGAAAGAGGTTACTTCATTCACTTATCTAGGGAGCATTGTCTCAACTACAGGAGGAACGGACGAGAATGTCAAATCGAGCGAGAATCAGGAAGGCGAGAAACACATTCATCAACCTGAAACCAATCTGGAAATCTTCGTCACTCAACTCAGCATCAACAACAAAACTCAGTCGGATTTTCAATACAAACGTCAAGTCAGTCAGTTCTCCCATACGGATCAGAAACCTGGCGGGTCACAAAAAATATTTCCAAAAGGTTGCAGACCTTTATTAACAACTGTCTTCGCTCTATACTGAAGATCAGATGGCCGGGCCGGAAGGAATCACCAACCAAGGAATTATGGGAACAAACAAAAGAGAACAAAAACAATCGCCCAACAAATATGCAGGAGAAAGTGGAGATGAATCGGACACTCGCTGAGGAGACCGCTGGGTGACATCGCGCGCCAAGCCCTCGAGTGGAACCCGAAAGGGAAGCGGCGTTTGGGACGTCCAAGGGTGACATGGAGGAGATCGTGTGAAGAGGAGTTGAAAGAATATGGATTAACATGGATGCAGGCGAAAAGTATAGCAGAAGACAGAAGCAAATGGAGACGTGCAGTTGAAGCCCTATGTTCCACTAGGAATCCAAGGGAGCAATAATAATAATACAAGTGATGCAATGTTAAAGCATGGTTACATAGGATAATAATATTCTTGTACATGTTCGACAAAAAACGATTTCTGCACATAAATTCGTCAACGGTCATCAATCCATTCATCATCAGGTAGTTTCGTTCTGGGCTGTTATAGTTTAGAGTCACCGGATTTATATAAGTTATAGAGAGAACCATTGAAAAGCATATGGGAGTAGTGGACAGCTGTTTTGTCCCTAGTGATTTGGACTCATCAGTATTTACTCACCCACCATAGGAGGTGCGAACCCAGGATCTTCGGGTTGCAAGGCAAGTTCTTGTACGATTCAGCCACTGGCGCATCTAACTCAACAATCCAATTCCTGATTTTAGCATGATGATTAACCAATGTACAACTGGACAAAGGAATTTATCTAAATGAATATTCTTTGCTTGAACTTCTTCGTTTTTTTTGTCTTTTTCAAATTGTCTGAATAAGGATTATTTTTTTGTTGCTATGTATGTATGTATGTGCATGTCAGTCTATTTATTGAGTGTTTTTGTGCTGCTGTTAATTATCGCTATTATCAGTGTGTCCATCATAAAATTTTGAGTTGGTTGGTTTTTTTTAATTTTTACGCTGCTTGCAAAAAATACTTTTCGTTTGTTGCTATTTCCTGATTTCTTTCTGCTGGCTTATGTTGTTGTTCGTTGGTGTTGATGTTGTTGTTGTACTCGGTGTGTATACGTATATTTGAAATCAAGTTATTTTTCTTTTTACTCTAATCTCTTTTATTTTTTCACAGGGTATCACAATCAGTCCATTAGTCCATCAATCAACTCGTCTTCAATTAATAAATCAAGTGGTGTAAAATTTGTCTCCATCACACCTAATCCTCCTAGTAGTACCACTAAGTATGAATCTCATTACAATTATCCGCATGCGCTTTCTGCTCCTAATTTCACTTTAGATGATTTTAACAGCACAAATAACCAAAGGAGCAATAATAGTAATAATAATAATAAACATCTTCATGATGTACGTCAACGAGAACACGTCATTACTGTGCATTTAAATCGACCACCTAGTATACGCTCTAGAACACCGTCAGTTACACGTATAAAAAGTGCACTCCCTGCATTATCGGATCATAATTTCAATTCAGTTTCACCTTTAGTTAACTATTGTCATTCACCAGCAGCACCTTTACAACAAAGTAGTACTCCTTCTAAAGTTCATAATAATAATAATAATAATAATTTTTGATGCATCCCATGTACCAAATATATCGAATCCAATCTCCAGTCCACGATTACTTCATCGTTTAAAATCTCGTCGACATAGTGGATCTAATAAATAATCAATTAAAAAATGAGATTGAGATCAACTTGTGAACAGGTTTCTCGTGTTGCTTTTCTTTTTTTTTAATTATCTGTAATAATTATCTCTGTTGAACTTGTTGTAACTCATTCAACCATATCAACAAACCTCAAACCACAAGAAGGCAAGATTTCCTCTCTCCCTTTCTCTCTCTCTCCTTCTCCCGCCTTTTTATCCTTCTGTTGTTGTTTTTCTCAGTTATGTTATTTTTTATACTGTTTTTTTAAAATTATTTATTTATTTCCTCTGATCGAGTGACGATTCCTCTCTTCTCCTTGTGTGCACTTTGTTTTTGCAGTTAATTGTGTTTTTTATTGTTCTGCTGTTTGTTTTGTATTACTCTTCTTTGTTTCGCAAAACGTGAGTGTGTCTCAGCACACAGCAATTACTACGATATTTATATATATTTATGTATATTGTAATGTATATAGTGTGTATGTTCCTCTCTTTTTGTTTACTCTTCTACTTCTATAATTATAACATCTTATATCTTTATAGTTTTTTATTATAATTACCTGTTGTTGTTGTTGCTATACCCTTTGACACTACCGAGTGGAACATAGACGTTCAACGGGACATCCCCCAATTTGTTGTGTTCTCTGCACTCCTCTCTGGTTGGCTGACCGACCGACTGACTGGTTCCACGATCGCCCCTCCCCTCCAAAATATCTCCCATCTACTATATGCGCCACCCTTTGACATACAACCAATTCTTCATTTTCCTTTAGGGTTCCATTCAGCCTGTGTCTAACCCCGTGTCCATTTTCTTCGTCATATTTGTTGGGCAGTAAGTAGGTTGTTGATTGGTTTGTTGCAATGTGTAGAGTTCCTTGTGGCTAATCCTTTCTGGTTGGCGTCGGTGGCATAGCGGTTAGGACGCTCGCCGACCGTGCGTGTACATGGTTCGGGGTTCGATCCCCAGCCACCGATGCACTCCTTTACCTTGCCAAGCCAGAAATAATGGTGGTAAAGAGGAAAGGTTGGGCATGAGGTAGGCTAGCAACCCCATCCTGTAAAAATAATCACCACTGCTACAGAAACTGCTACAAGCCACTAGCTTGAAGGTGCCCTATGTTCCACTGGGGAACGTGAAAGAAAAAAATCCTTTCTGGTTGGCCATTTGATCTTCAATATGGTGGAGCCAGTGAAGGCAGCTGTTGATAAAAGTCGACTGCGTTGGTGATGCGAGTGCCAAGTCTCTGGAATCGCATAGAAGCAGTAATTGACTTGATATAAGTGTTGAGAATTTGAACCTTGTTCCTTATGATTAGTAGTGCATTGGGTGTCCAGACTGACTTCAGAGGAATGAAAGCATGTCTAGCTTTTCCCTATCGTCCCTTAAACATCTTTGTTAGCTGTTATAGTTGCCTAGATAAGTAATTGAAAGAAGCGATCTTTTTTCAAATTTCTTACGTTGATACTGATTGGTACTGGTTGTTGTTATTGTTGGTCCATCTTCCCAACATTCACTTGAAGTTCAGTATTCTGTGCTTCTTCAACCAGTGTATTGGTTTTCTCCTACTGTAACAACAGAAGACAAGACAAGGCAACAGATCGTTTTATTACGAAAACCAGCACGTATTTATATATATTTCATATACATTATTATAGCTTATTCAAGCAGACAAACACAGTCTTCTGATTAGTTGTTTCTGGTTTCTCAGAAAGTTAAGCCATATATCTGCGAATCTTATTGGCTCACGTTAAGTCTACTGTGATTGGTTGTTGAATCAGCCTTGTTCATATTTTCTCACGGCCAGTATTAGTGACCTAGTCATTGACGTAAATTATTGTCTACCAATTGGCTAGCAGCTTGCTCTCACCACACTATAAGTCTCCGAGTTTATGTCACATTACATATAAATCGCCCACGAAATCCAGATTTTCTAGAGTCTTCTTATGGTTTCAACGTATTCCAGTCTTCTGACTTCCACGCATGGTATATTGCGCATGATCCAGTGGCCCACCACAGTCAAGAATATCTTATATATGAAACGTTATACACTAATGAAATATCTTTATTGATTACTTGGACGTCGTGATAACAAGAATGTCATAGATGTGTGTGTGGCTCACTGGCTTTTAGGCACAGTTTTGGGTCCCATTCCATCCATTTATTAGATGGACTTCCGATCATCCCATCCTATGTCAGTGAGAATAGGATTGGTGAAATGTTTAAGTGACAGAGCACAAAAGCTAAGCAGTACTAAGGAAAATCTAAGACAGAAAGTGATACACATAAAAGAAGCCTTGTAACTTAATAATTACCCTGATAAGTTAGTCAAGAAATATGTAAGGAAATGTAAAAATAAAATGAATAATGATAGTAGCGATAGTGATAATAATAATAATGACAACAGTAATAATAGTGATAATATTAATGACGACACCAACAATAAGGAATCTAAATCATCAGTAGTAATTCCATACAAGGAGGGAACCTCGGAAGCCTTACACAGAATTCTTAACAATGTAGGAATAAAAGTGGCTGGCATTCAAACCAACCACAAACTCAATTAGAAACATGCGTTGTCGGTTAAAGGATCAATCCTGTGGAGCCTTTAAAACAAAACAAATTAGTTTATCTAATTCCCTGTCTGCAATGATTGTCAGGTTAAATACATGAGTCAGAGTAGTAGAACAGGAACAGTCAGACTAGCGAAGCACAAAAAGCCTAGCAGCTAAATCTAGATTAGTTGACCCGAATAAGATAGGAAATCTAGAAAATAGTTCAGCTATAGCGCTCACTACATACAATTACACACAACCATACAGTAGGATGACAGTTTTAAAATCTAATATCACAAGGTGGAGGGAGATATTGATAACGGCAGTTTTGTTTATTGAATCAACTGTAAGTACATGTAATAGGGATGATTCAACACCTGTCCACGCAAACATCTGGAAAATTCTACTACCCCACGACAGCAAATAGGAGAAGACTAAGAAAACTATAAAACTCAAGTTTCAAAGTCGTGTGTTTATAATTGATGGAATGACTATGAACAATAAATTTTGTTCGAAACTTTGTCATCCATTTAATAATACTGTTTCACTGATTGTGTAATACATCTAATAAACAAACTAATATGGGTAGTATCAATCGTCAGCCCTCATACGATAAGTGTGACTCTTAGTCATTTGTACATGTGAAGTCTATTCTGCGTAACAGAATTGATTATTATAATGGTACAGATATATCTATGAAAGCGGGAGATGATAATATCGTTCATATATATGTAGTATTTAACAGTATTGCTTCTTTGTGATGATTTTCTCTTAAAAATCAGACAGGATTTGTGTAAATGTCCTATTGATATGTCTTTTGTTTGTTACCAGAAAATCCTACTGCTCTGAAGTGACTGCTCTGGACAGAGAGGTAAACAGCACTAAATTCTAATAGCAGTGAGCTGGTATAAAGCCTTAAACTTAGCTTTTCAGTGTTTGTCAGCACTCTTAGATAAAATACCTAGCCAAACTTGACGACCAACTGACTGACTATTTATTTATTTAAACGCAGAAAAAAATCTTGTTACAATATGGCATTAAGAAAAATGCGCCACACAATAACAATAAAACAACACAGATCAAAAGTAAAAAATATAAGTAGAGAACGGATAAAGAACTTCATCGGGAAGGAAAGCGGTCATGCTTAACAAGTTCAAGCAGTATTCGTTAACTATCATTGGGAAGGGAAGGAGATTGCAACACGTTCACCACTGATTACGACTCTTGGCCATATCCATAACGTTTCGAGCTATCTCGCGGACTCCAACCAGGCAGTCATGACGCACTAACCGATGCTAATCTAGCACAAACATCCTTCATCCCACGACGCCACGTCATGGACTGACCACCTCTCCGCCTTTTCCATCCCGTCCCAGTACTGGCTAGCGAACAGAGACATGTACGGAAGCCTCTGGGACGACATTCTCAGCACATGTCCTATCCACCGGAGCCGGTGCTTCCAGATGACGACACTCAATGAGTGGTGATCTCCGGTGTGTTCAAACACACGCCGCCGGACCTAAGAATTACTCACAACGATGAAAATTAAATTTCCAATTTTAAAAAAAAAATCTCAAAAAAAAAAATTTCCGGGGTACAAAAAATTTAAGGGTTTTAATTTTTTTCCCAATTTTTTTATTTTTGGGTTTTTTTTAAGAAAAATTTTTATTCTTTTTGACAAAATTTAATTTCCTCTAATAAAAAAAACCAAATAAATTAAAATTTGTAATTTATAAAAATTCCCCTAAATTGGTTTTCCAAAAGGAAAAATATATTTTTATTACGATGCCATTGAACGAAAGCAATCCTGTGGAGATAGCGATGTCGAACACGCAGAGTCGCCGCACATTCTCAGCTCGGAGGGGCCAGTTTTCACAGGCGTAGACCAAGACAGCCCGCCCCGAAGCATTGTATACCCGACCTTTGACAGTCGGCCTAACGTCGCGATGGCTCCAGAGGTGGCTCAAGTTGATGTATTCCACCCTAGCCTTCATTATACGGTCGGAAATCTCATCCGTCATCCCTCCGCCAGCACTCACACAACTACCCAAGATACACAAACTTATCAACAACTTCAAGCGGTTCACCCGAAAGAGTGAGTGCAGGTACAGGCTCCTGTCAATCTTGTAACAGTACTTTGCACTTAGACGGCACAAAGCACATACCATACTTACAGACACTGATCGCCAACTGATTAAGTGCGATTTGGGCAACCTGCATGCTATCGCACAGTAAGACGATATCTTCTGCATACTCGAGGTGGAAAAGTCTATCTCCAGGTAGCAGATCTACACCACCTTCACGCATATCCTTCAAAGCTGACTCCAGAACGTCATCGATGGCAAAGTCAAAGAGAAATGGAGAGATTGGGCAACCCTGTATAACTCCACTGCTGGTTGGGAACAGTAATGATAGTTGGTTGTATGCCCTCACTCTACCGAGGTGTTTCTGTATAGGGTTTTCAAGATGTTAACAAATTTCTCAGGCACACCTCTCTCTAACTGACAGTTCCAGAGCACAGTTCTGTCCAACGAATCGAAGGTAGTCTGACTTCTGGTGTTTACAGTACCACGTGATTTAGCCGAGTAACGTCACTATACCCTTATTCATTCTGTAAAGGTAGAAGACGAGGACTGGAAATGGGTATCTCTCTATAGACAAATTATGTAAATCTTACCTTCAACACACCATTTTACAGATCTCTGTTTTACTACATATGACCTTCTTATTGTGTTTCATTGTGTTCCTTTAACGCCTCCCGTGCATCTCCACAACGCTGTATCATTTGCTTTCGGTGACACTATGTCCATCTCCTTGATATCTGACGTTTTTATGAGGATAAACATCTCTTTTTATGTTTATAAGTGATAAATCTCATCAGTGGCACATACCACTATTCAGTAAGACAAAAAGCAGCTTTAAGTTGACAGCTGAATGGGATACCACCTAGTGATGGATTCGTATAAGTTAATTGTAGATAATCCAGGCAGAGCTTAATGAACAACTGACTGTAATAAGAATAGTCCTGAAGGTGATTAGATTATTTTTCCAGTCAAGTAATAAACACCACTCTTCG